GCCAAAGCCGCGCTAGAGCACCTCCTGAAATCCGAACACGCGGATGTCGAACGATCCATCGCGTTGGTCTACGCGTCGCTGTCGGATAATAATTTCACTGCTAATGATGTAGGGTCTGGACGAAACATATCAAATGCTGGCGAACATAACGCATATGGCGGGAATTAGTTGAATCACTTGTGATCAGACTGGCGACCGCAGACGAGATATTCCGTAAATAACCTGATCTGAATGGAAAATGGTGTAACTAGAGTAGTACAGAGCCCAATATAATCGACCTCTCACATGACGATGATATGGGTGCATTCAATTCTGATTGGTTACAATTAAATCGAGCATATGTTTTACCTCAATACAAACATCGAGTAAAACTACTTCGTCGTTGAACAGGCCTCGTCAGGGTAGCGGCTCGGCCTTCGGCCTACATACCGCTTTTCCCGACGAGAGGAATCGATTGGACATTCGGTGAAGTGCACAATCGGGGCTCACTCCTCGCCAAGGCACCGTCTGCACAAAATTATACACACGACCTCCGCTACGCTGCGGTGCGCGCAATTTTGTGGGCGGATGCTCTGTCGTCGCTCGCAACTACTGTACTCCCTCCGTCCCACAATAATGGTTCGACTTTGGGGAGGGTGTACATGTCTTGTCATTATATTTGTAGGTAAAATTCAAATATATCTGCACCCTGCCCCAGAGCAGATTAAACAGTTATGATTGGACTACGAGAAAGAGCGCGCCAAGAGCTCTAACATGATGCACCTGGACCGCGAGAAATCGTACCATAACGTAACCAAATTTAAAGCTCATAATCCAGAAAAATGACATGAAATATAGGCGAAAATAACGGCATCGTAATGCACGACGCATTATATTTTCGATTTGTTGAAAACAAATTGGCCAGGCTTTAATTAATTCCACTTACAAATGCCTATTGATTAAATTTGAGAAATTATTTGTTCAAACAAGTAGGGAAAACGTAATGCAGATTGCACTACGTTTCATTGGACCAATCACATCGCTTGAAAAAGGAATTTTCATGGATCGCGTTTGAGCTTCAAGCTAGCTTGTACTACACCTTTTCCCAATCAAGTTCGCAAAAAAACGTTTGAAACGTCATTTTTAAAACGGTGGGTGGTTAAAAACACACAAATTTCCAAGCCAATATGAACTTTTTCCATTCAATATGAACTGCCTACTGACAATACACCATGCTCTCCAATAGGATGGCTTTTTCGACGTTGCGCTGACAGAAGATGACCTCGCGGACCACCAACGGCTGCGTGATGCATGGCAGCGACGCGCGAGCAGCATCCTCAAGTAAGTGCCGGTGAAGTCGGCAGCAACAAAGGTTTGCATTTCACGAAGAGTGTATTGACAGTTCTTGTCTAGGTACTGCTCGAGAGCGGCACGGATCTCGGGGGTGACCTTGGACTTGGCGGGTCGAAAGCCACCTCGTGGCAGCAGAGTCGTTCGGCCGGTGGTCACAACTCGCCTCGCTGTGGCGAGGGACATGTCGTTGTGCTGGGCGACGAGCTTCCAGTTGTCGCCGCGGAGGAAGGCGTCGAGAACACGCTTCTTCTCCTCCGCGGTGGGGCCTTTGTGTGTTTTCATGCGAAGACAAGTTGGGTGATTGGAAAATGATCATTGTGCATTGACAGTTTACATGTTG